CCTAAGTCTCTCTGACACATCAGTGGAACTCTGTGGCACATCTTCCAGTGTATCAAGGATCCTGACAGAAGAGTATGCCGACCGCTGAGAAGCCCCCCTGCGCCCACTAGGAAGTTGACACCTGCCTGTGGCTGGGAGGATACTGAGTCATTGGCCACGTGATCTCAGGTGCTTAGTGGTTTGCAGATGTATGGGGGATACAGGGATTCCTGGGGTGTGACCAGAATGCCAGGGTCATTCACCGAAGATGGGTAAAATTACAGGAGGGTTGCAGAGTATCCGCATCTTTAACCATTGACTGCTTCGCATAATAACTGTGTGTGTGCAGTTTTAGTGATTGTATGTGTACGATTTCCAAGCAGCAGCATCATAGCTTTGTACTGCGCACCACTGTTTAATATCTGGGCCTCATGGAGATGGGAAAGCACTGCCGTGTGAGATCGAAGATTTCAAATCATGGAGTCCACGGAGGAGTGAGGGGAGGGGAGGGTCAACTGTAATGGGGTCTGTGGTAGTGAACTGTTGGGTCCAATGGGGCTTTTGCGCACTGACCCCCACCCATAGCCTTAGCTGAAGGCTAAGGACAGGTGTCGACTGGCTCATGATGGTGGTCCCAGCACCAGCAGCCACAGTAGCAGCCACAGTAGCAGCCTCGGTCCCGCTGAGTGGGCACTCAATGAATACTGTGGAAGTATTATCTAGTAGATACTTCATACTTTGAAATCTAGCACATAGGGACCGTCTACATTTCAGCATCAAAGGGAGATTCAGAGGTAGCAGCAGATGTAGACAGGCCAAGGCAGGGCTGTTTTGACCCACCTCCATCTCCAACTCAATCCCTGACGGTCTCATGTAACGGAATGGATACATGTTCCCCAAATTCCTGTGCCCGGAATGGGGGCCCTCTCGGGCCACGTGGAGCTAGGTAAGATGTCATTAAAGGAGCCAACAGAGAGCAGGGCTGCTGATCTACCCCAGCCTCGGCAGCTGGAGCAGGGGCTGCTGCGCACGGGCCCTGGGAGCTGACTGTAGGGGACAGCGTGGGAAGTGGGAATGCAGGGCCTTCAACAGGAGGAAGAGAGAGGAAAGTGAGCTTTTAGACCTTTCAGTAATATTCGGGGAGGTAAACTGTTTAATGTCCACAAAGTCCTCCCATCCCAGTATATTCGGGACTTTGCTCTGCCTCCCACCTGTACGTTGGTCAACACTATCTGGGGAGCCTCGAGACCATGGGCGGGTTTGCAGGTGCCCGCTGCTTGGCCCCATGCCCTCCTGGGAGGCAGCTCTGTGACCCAGTCAGGGACACGATGTGCACAGAGGCTCTGCAGAATGAGAGGCTGAGCCAGCTCAGGAGGGGAGTGAGGGCGGCCACCAGGAAGACATAGGCCAACCCACAGATCCTGAGGGTAAGAGAGAAGGGGGGACAGCATACTACTTTCAACAATAAAGATTAAAATAATAATAATAATAAAAAGCAAAAAAAAAAAAAAGATCTGCTTGTTTCGAGCTTCTGGGTGGTTTGTTACCCAACAGCAGATAATGGAGACATGCCAATGAATGTTTTTTACTTTTTAACATTTTTAGGAAATCTAAGGTCCGAAGATGTGACCTGAAGAGATGGATCATTTTATGTCTTTTCATGTGGATGGCTGATGGGATTAACTGGAAGGTCACCAATCCTTAGTCCTCATTTGAAATTTTGAAGTTTATTTGACTTTAATTGGAAAAAATCTCTACTCATTTTACAAAGCTAAATTTGAATATTATTCTAATGCAACTAACACTGATTACAAATTTAGTGACTGGGGGTTAAATAAATTTCAGATTTTTCTTCCTGCTGAGAAACCAACAGTATTTGCAAAAGTAGTCACAAGGATTTTTTCCCCTAAAAGTTCTCCAGGAAAGTAAAAGGGAATAACTCTATGATCAGATTATCCCCAAACCCTTAATTAAAGCCAGATGCTAAGGGAGAGTTCAGGATCCTTAATTTTCTTTACTAATCCACACAGAGAAACATTAGAAAAATATTCCTCAGTTCTTACTCACATACTTCATAGTAGGGCTCATTTATTCTTATTAACGTGTTTACATATGTTTATAACACCAACATTCAGCAAATACACCTCTACCTAAATATGGCAATACCTACACCTGTTCTCACAGACATTACTGAATATATCTCCTTTCCCCAGTTTACCTACTTATCAAAATTCTGGCAAGCATTTCAGGAGACTGTATTAGTTTGAAACACCCAACATTCCTCTTATAAAGTTTCTCAAGGTGTCTCTAGGGAAGCTGGGAAAAAATGTATATGTATATAGGTTCAAAACATAAGAGCACAACGTGCCTGCAATGCCCACATCTGCAGCGGGAGTTATACTGAGTTGCCATAGCAGCCACCCACACTCACACACACAGAGTGGCAGGGAGGAAAAAAGCAGTTAGCACAGAACAGAATCTATTGTTAAAAAGACAGCGGGTTCCCTTCACTGTAATTACAGGCAGGACTCCTGACTTGTAGTCTCAATGCTATTTAATGTTAGAAGATTTCTGAGTGTTGAGTGTTACCAAACGTTTCTTCTCTGAACATATCTGCCATCTGAACCCTGGGCCATAACCTTTATGGATGCTGAGATCATGTGGGGGCAGGAAGGAATTCACCTGACCACTCGCATGCTGGGGATAACTGAATTAATGATTGCAGCTCTGGAACATTCGAAGTTTAGTCAGGACAATTTATGGTTCTATGGATCTGGGCAAGTTACTTCACTTTATCCAGGTCTTAAAATGGGTATAACAACAGACATACTTTAAAGAGCTATTATGAGAACTCAATAAATTAGTACAAATATAAACTACTACATAAATAATAATAATAAAGAACGAATTATAATGATGCATAAATAAGAATTTGTAGTGTATAAATGAGCAACAATGTAGCACTCCATGCCTGACACAGTAAATGCTCAGTAAATATTATTATTATTATTATTATTATTATTACAAACATCTCTAAGTCTTGATTACAGACTAGAACAATATGGTTTATAATTAAGATGCAAATCCGGTGAGACGTTGCTAAAGCAGATGCCAGCAGACGAGGGGCAAGACAAGACATTAAGATTCTTTCGGGGCAATGCCTTTCAAAACACCATTTTGGCAGAAGGAAAAGACCGCGCACTTGACTCTACTAGCACACTCTCGCCACCACCGGCAAATTGGTTACACAGTGACATCTACCATCTCTTAGAGCTAAGATAAGCCTGTTACAGTATTTGGGATCAGAGAGTATTCTGGAGTTTGTCTCAAACCATTGGTTTGATCACATATGTATATACAGATATCTTTGCAATTCACACCCAGATACCAATATAAACATTAGGTCTAGGCATGATGACAATGAATGAAAAGTATTTTATGATTTCTGATCCACTCAAGCTGTAAACCTTCATTTGAAGGTTGAATGCTTCTTCATAGTTTGAGGGGGCAGGGGGGATAATGGGTGGAACATGGCAATTGAGTGAACAGGAAAGAATATGCAGGGATTCCAGATTTCACGTCACGTCTTAGAATGTGAAACAGAAAGCAGAGCTGGTGAGCTAGAGAACTGGGGAGGAGTCGAGGAGCAGAGACGGGCGCACGGAGGGACCACGGGATGGCAGCCGTAACTGACAAACCACAAGTCAGGAGGTCCCTGGAGAGAGTGGACAGGACGGGATCTGCTCCTTCCAGCTCTAAAAAGTTTCTTGATGGGATTCTTGTTTTTTATATGGTATTTTTTGTTCAATTTTATTAAATATATTGGGGTGACAACAGTTGATAAAATGATAGGGGTTTCACGTATACAATTCTATAACATACTGTATTGTGTTCACCACCCCAAGTCAAGTCTCCTTCTGTCACCACATATTTGAGCCCCTTTACCCTCTTCACCCTGCCCCAGCCCTCTTTCTTGTTGGGATTTTTTTTAAAAGTCTAGGCAGTGAGGCATAAAGCTAGATTGGCTTAACAACTTTTAAATTGTTGAAATGCATACACTCCTGGGCTCCAAAAGCACCCCGCCATTATGGAGGTGACGAGCTAGACAGCCTCTCCGAAAGGGCCTGTCGTTCGAAATCATTTCCGTCTCAGGCAGAGGTGTCACTGGGCGTCACCCTGATTCTGCTTTGAGATGTGATCGGACATGACTGTATCAGGAACATTAGAAACGTTTCCACAATCTAAGAGCTTTTGGAGGGTAAAAGTAATTTCGAGCTTTTTCAAGTCTTTGGAAATGATCCAGTGTGGTTTCCTATTGGTCCCAAGACCTCTTGTCAATGAGCTGATAGCAGGAGGAAAGAGTTCTTGGGACCCCTGGAAAGGAGAACCCCAAAGACATTTAAATTATCTGACCTTCCCACGGTAGCTTTGGAAGCGCCCACAGAGCAACTTCGGGGGTCCAGCCCCAGAGCCGCGAGGCAGACAGAGCCTGGTGACAGAGGGGCAGGCTGAAGTCCTGGGCCGCAGGCCACGAGGACTCCCCGGGAGCCCACCCTGCCTCAGGTTCTAAGACAGCTGCGCCCGAGGTCGGCTCTTACACCAAAATGATGGCACGCCGTCCAGAATCAGGGATACACCATAATTGATAAGGGCATTTTGATGAGTTCGAGAAAATATTAAAACACCGGTTGCAATCTTATGATGAGTTACCAATAACAAGAGACTTTTCTAGAAAAAGAGCCCTTCTCCGTCCACCAGAGTATCAGAGCGCAGGAAGCAGCGCGGAGGCCGGCGCACTTCTCCCAAGGTGCTATTACTGGCTTACGGGGCCGCGCCGGACGGATGTGTTCCATCGAGCCCTGTTTACCACCGAGACAGACACTCAGACAGACAGGCGAACGGCTGTCTGTCTCCCGACCGGCAGTGATCTCATGAGAGTCAGCCACCTGGCTGCACTGGCAGCGCCAAGGGCTGTTAGCAAGAGGGAGTGACTGGCGCAAGGCTGGCCTGCGGCCACTCACGGTCAGGTACACGGCGGCGTAGACGCTGAGGGCCGCCTCCTTGGACGGGAAGGTCTTGCGGGCGCGCATGATGAGGTCGGGGTTGCCGGTGCAGGCCTCCTCGCCGCTGATGAACTGCGTCAGCTGCTGGCACCCCAGCGCCGTGTAGTTGGGCTGGCACAGGGCCAGGAAGTGGGGCGCCAGGTTCCCCGTCACCACCTGCCCGGCGTTCACAAAGATGTCCGTGGCGAACAGTCCGAACGTGTAGATCCCTGGAAGCAAACAGCATGGGAATGCTCCGGTCTTGCGGGTCAGTGCCCAGCAAACCAGCACGCAAACGGGTTGCGGGGAGCAGCCGTCCCGCACGCGGCTCCTTCCGCGCGTGGGCGCCCGCTCTGCGGGGCTGGGCGCTGCGGCTCCACGTCCCCCGCCTGCCACTAGCCACATCGTCTTGCGTGGCAGTCGTACTAGACTCCAATGAAAGAAGATATATGCTAGACCTGTGTTTAGTAATGTGATTTTTTAAAATGGAGCCAGGGTCCCCTAGAGAGGGTTTGGTCTATCGCCTTTTGCTAATGTTAGCAGTCTTTCCTTTACCTCATTTTGAAAATATTTTTTAATCTTACTTACCGAGAGCAAAGCAGTGGTCTCCCTTTGACAGTGGCCCTTAAGCCCCCTCAGATTGATATCAGGGCTGTTGGAGGGAGGCCGTGGGTCATTTACATATCACGGAGAACACTGCTTCCCGAAACACATTTGTGAAAGTCAGGTAACAGCTAGCAACGTAGTCCCATCTTATCCTTTATGAATTGAATTTTCATTGATCAAATTTGGGGCAGTTCAGTCAACAATAAGGCCATAGCATTAAAATCTACTTTCTCTGGTTACCTAAAGGTATAAAATTAAGTACATGGATTTTTTTTTTCCTCTCTCTCCCTTTTTGAAGGAACTTGCCAGTTTACTCAAATACCAAAAAAATTTTCTAAATTCAGTGTCACTGGTCACTGCTGGTCAAAACTTACCTTTCACCCTGGATGAGTGGCTCAGTTGTTTGGAGTATTGTCCCATTCACCAAAAGTTTTCGGGTTTGAGTCCCAGTCAGGGCACATACCTAAGTAGCAGGCTTGAACCCCAGTAGAAGCAGGTTCGAGAGGCAAATGATCCATGTTTCTCTCTCACATCGATGTTTCTCTCTCTTTGTCTCCCTTCCTCTCTCTCTAAAATCAATAAATGTGTCCTTGGGTGAGAAGTTCAAAAAAAAAAAAGCTATCTTTCGACTTAGGTAGGTAGACAAAATAAAGTCTTTGGTATCCATTTTTTTTTGTTGTTGTTGTTTTTTATTGATTTTATTAGAGAGAGAGAAAGAGAGGGGGGAGAGAGAGAGAGAGAGAAACATTGATGAGAGAGAACATCAATTGGCCACCTGCATGCCCCCAACTGGGGATTGGGCACACAACCAGGGCATGTGCCTTGACCAGAAACTGAACTGGCAACCTCTTGGTGCATGGGTCAACGCTCAACCACTGAGCCACACCTGCCGGGCAGTATCCTTTTCAATTAAACTTAGAGATACAACCTTCAAGAATGTGGGGCCAATGTAAAGAAATCAATCCTTTTATAATTTGGGGAAATAAAATCCATCGAGACATTCTATAACTACACCAAAATAATACTTCCAAGCAGCTGGTTTATTAAAAAGTCATATTATAATTCTCCTATAATAATTAGATGCTTTCTTCTTAGTCATATATTTCTGGGTTGTTTGTTTCCTAAGTCTTTACATAATTATTGGCTACTGTGTAAGAAATCACCAGGAAGTCGTTCAGGGTGAAATAATTTTCCAGCATTGGATGTGTGGCTATCCTTTCAACTTTCAAAACATTATGTACGAGTGTAAAGGGTTCATGCACACCAACCTGCACAGGGCACCACTCGATGAGTATAAATCATCAATGAAACAAAGACCTTAGTTCTCTCTTTATCTAACAAGTTTAAAAGGAAGTAATAAAAACCCTTTCTTTACATCTTACCAACATTCCGTGAGTCATACAAGTAAATGTTAACAAGGCAGAAATTTGGGAGAGGTAGAGAAAGGAAAGAGAATGAAGCCAATAAAATGTTTATGTACAACCTCTCCTTCCAAACATCCTGGCCTAGACCAGACCCCAAGTTATGAGTCTTCATCATCTCCTCCTTAAAACTGAGGCTAAGATATGCTCATTTTAACCAAACTATTCTGTAGTGGAATACATTTTTCTGTTTAGAGAGAAATATCTGATGAGGATATGGAAATGTCTCTTAACACCTATAAAGCTCCCTAATATGCTTCAGAATGAAAATATCAGTGCGTCATGCCTACAGCCAGCAGAGGTACTGTTGACTATGAAGATACTCACGAAAATGAGATCCCATGAGTGGATCATGTGCTGATGTCCAGAATAAAGCAATATAAAGAGTGATGTCCTGTTATGCAATAATGCTTTGCTTATAAGCTTCCTGTTTTATTGTAACAAACTAGAAAATCCAAGTCATGAAAAACAAGGGAATAAGAAACAAATGAAGAGCTCCTAAATATTTCATAAAGTCATATGAGACGTAAGAAACATGTAGAGAATTAAAAGCACACTTTGTGCCATTTGTTATTTAGAAATATGTGTGCAAATGCCGAAAAAAATATTTTATTTTTATAGGCATAATATAATTTACTTGACAGTCTTTAGGAATGTGTAAATTTCATAATATTTTTTTAAATCCTCACCCAAGGATATTTTTCCATTGATTTTTCAGATAGACTGGGAGGGATCAAAGGAGAGACAGAGAGAAACATTTGATATGAAAGAAACACATCGATTGGTTGCCTCCCACACAAACCCCACCCAGGGCCGGGAAATGAACCTGCATCTGAAGTATGTGCCCTTGACTGGGAATCAACACCAAGACTCTTCGGTCCATGGGTCAGTGCTCTCACCGCTGAGCCAAACCAGCCAGGGTGAATTTCATCATTTTTAGTGTTAAGTATATTACTGCTTCTCTGGTGTTAAATGACTCTCATGCAAAGAAGAGTCAAGAACACAGCACTAATGCATGTGAAAAGAAAAAGGCTTTTTAAAGTTTCATATCAAAGTTATTCAACAGTATAAATGACAGCTTTGGAGATTTTAACTGGATGGCAATAGAAAGAATAGTCTTAGATATGAAGACCTTTCATCTTCAAAAAGGTTTAAAAGCAGAATGACATTTGGTTAATCTTTAAGTGTGTTTATATATAAATTAGGTGATCTGTGTATAATACTTAAACATCCTCATCTTGATCCCATCAATATGAGAAATATATTGAAGGGTTACAGTATCCTTAATCATTATATTGATCAGAATTTATATTAAGTGAATACACAGACATACATGTTTATTGATAAATCCAGGAAATAGTAATTTATATTAACTTTTCTGTGTCAGTGAAAAAATTCGTCTTGGTCAAGTTCTTATTGGGGTGAGATATTTTTGATACTTTGTCAATGTTCATATGTATTAGTGCAGGAATTTGAGAATGAAAGTTAAAGTATCAGTAAATCTTGTCCTCTAATAAAATCAATACATTTTTGCTGACTTAAAAAAGGAAAGAAAACCCAGCACAGAGTAGTGCATGGGGTGTGACAGATGGTAATGGACAATTACTGTATTTCTTTTATTTGCTGTGCTAGTTTTCCTGTTCTTCATGACGTTCAACAACTTAACGAGATGATCATTTCTCCTCAAACACTGTCTCTGAAATTTCAAAACACAGTAAATCATTTCTTTTAATTAAATAATTTTTTAGTTTCTTAAAGCATATTAAACATCCAAGTGTGGAGTGCTTTTTTCCTTAAAATAATAGAAAAATGACAACTGCAGTGGAGTTTTTCAAGTTGAGAAATGAGTATGCCATGTTTTTTTAATTTTTAGTTTTTAATCCTCACTGAGAATATTTTTGCATTGATTTTTAGATAGAGTGGAAGGGAGAGAGGTGGAGAGAGAAACGTCAATGTAAGAGAGACACATAGATTAGTTGCCTCCCGCATGACCCTGTCTGGGGCCAGGGTTAGAACCTGCAACCCAGGTATATGCCCTTGACCCAGCATCGAACCTGAGACCCCCTCAGTCCATTTGGCTCACTTAATTGCTGAGCCAAACTGGCCAGGGCTGTTTGTGTGTGTGTGTGTGTGTGTGTGTGTGTGTGTGTGTGTGTGTTTGTTTTTAAATCACTTCTCAGGTTGGGCCACTTAAATTTTTTTTCTTTATTGATTTTTTTAGCAAGAGAGGAAGGTAGAGGGAGAGAGAGATAAAAACATCGATGGCTGCCTCCCACATGCCCCTAACTGGGGATTGAGCCCACAACCTGGGCATGTGTCCTGACCAGGAATCGAACGGGCAACCTCTTGGTGCACAGAACAATGCTCCAACCAACTGAGCCACCTGGCTAGGGTTCTATGTTTCTTTTTAATACTGAATTGAAACAGTTCAAAGAAAATATAAGCTGATATTTGCATACAGTTAAAATGTTGGTCATTTTCAAGGTTAGCTCACACATAAACATTATGTCAGCAACAACAAAAACAATTCAGCGAACACATACCAAGAAATCTCACAGTTCTCCGCACCAGTGGGTTTATGTAGCAGCAGTCTCCAGTTAAAATCGTTTTCTCCTGGTTTTCAAAATCCCTTGTAGCTAGTTGTAGGCAAAACACCGCAGTCTCTCCAACTATTATCTTGCAATAAAATAAAAAGTTAAAGAATTTTAGAATTTAACCAACATAAACGTAGAAAATTTTCTTTAAAAAAAAAAAAATTCTTTGAGTAACAATCTTGATATAACCCTGAACCATATTTGCTTAACCAAACTCTGTTATTATAACCTTATCCCTATGTATATAACCCATATTTCTCTCAACATAAGGGAGTATAAAATTGATAAGTTATAAATACAAGTGGACTATAACACTTTTGTTTCTTAAAATACCATTAAAAATACTGGGAATATATCTTAAGAATACCAAAACACCAACTAGAAAGAATATATGTATTCTTATATTTATAGCAGTGTTATTTATAATAGCTATGATCTGGAAACAGCCCAAGTGCCCATCAATAGATAAGTGGATAGAAAAGCTGTGGTACATTTACACAATGGCATACTATACAGCTATAAAAAAGAAGAAACTTTTACCTTCTGTGACAATATGGATGGACCTGGACAGTATTATGCTCAGTGAAATAAGCCAGTCAGAAAAACAGAAATACCATAAAATCTCACCGATATGTGGATTCTAATGAACAAAATAAACTGACAAACACAACAGAACAGGAAACATGGATACATGGAACACACTGGCTGGTGCACGAGGGGAGGGGTGGTGGCGACTGGGTAAAGATGCTGAAGGAATTAGCTACAGAATATATATGCATACCCCATGGACATGGACAATAGTGTGTTGAAGGCCAAGAAAGGGGGAGGCAGGGGTGGGTGAAGGTGTGCAATTGGGATGGAGGAGGGGACACCTGCAATAAGATCAACATTCAGAGGATTCCAAAATGGTGGCAGAATGAATGGAAGCTACACAGACCATCTCCCAGAACCAAACTGAAATTACAACTGAAATAAAGACAAATCGTTAGGAAAAAGCAACAGAAAAGCAACTGGAGAGGACTATATAACCAGGTACAGGAAAAAAGAACACTGAGTCAAGCCTGGTAGGATCTGTGGAGGCACAAGAGGCAGGCTGGGAGCCCATGGACAGCAGCTGTTTTAGTTGTGAGCAGTTCCTTAGGGGTTAAAATCCCAAGCTAGCTCCACAGCACATAGGGCCAGGACAGAGCACTAAATTAGCTACAGACACTCACCTTGGGCTCTGGCAGAGGGAGGGTGGACTGGACTGGAACTGTGTGGACCCTTGGGAGCTTGGAGAGCTGGGAGGGCACTGGGAGTTTTGTGCCTAATCACTCCCTCACAGGACGTAGCCATCTTACTCAAAGAGCTCCTTCCCAAAGCCCCTGGCAGAAGCAACAGACCCTCCCTCAGAAATTTAACTCGACCCAGCTGGGCCAGAGAAATGCAAATTGAAGCTCATTAACATCCAGCATCTGTACCACCCTCTGGAAATCCTCTTGCCCTGAACACCTGAGAGATTTTTTTCCATTCAGCTGAGGGCTAAAACCCAGAGCTTATCAAGTAACTGAGACTAATAGCCTCCAGGCAAAAAGGTGGAAGATAAATGAACCTTTCCTGAGCTTGTAAATCTACCCTGGGAAGTAAGATTTGATAGTGATGTTTAATGTGGGTCCTCCCACGCTCATCCAAACTCAGTAGAGGGAGCCAAAAACAGCAGAACACCAACACCCACAGGGAAAATTTGGAAGGCTCCAAAACCCACTGTGATAGCCAAAATGGTGAAACAAAGAAACAAATCCCAAATGAAAGAACAAGAAAACTCTACTGAAGATGAGATAAATGAAATGCAGTTAAGCAAGTTATCAGAGGTAGAGTTCAGACTAATGATAATGAGGAAGCTTAACAGCATGAGTAAAGAGCTCAGCACCATGAGTAAAGATATAAACGTTGAAAACAAACCAATTAGAAATTAAGAATGACACAGCAGAAATAAAGAACACATTGGAAGAAATAACCAGCAGAGTAGAACAAGCTAAGGACCGGATCAGTGAATTAGAAGACAGGGTAGGAAAAAAAATCATTCAATCAAAAACCAAAAAGAAAAAATTAAAAAACAGGAAGACAGCTTTAAGAAAACTGTGGGACAACTTGCAATCTAACAACATTCACATCATAGAAGTTCCAGAAGAAGAAGAAAATGAGCAAGGGTTAGAGAATATATTTGAAGAAATAGTGACAAAAACCTTCCCTAACTTGGTGAACGAAAAAGGCATTCATGTTCAAGAAGCATAGAGAGCCTTAAGTAAGAAGAATGCAAACAGGCCCACACCAAGACACATAATAATTAAAATGCCAAAATTTAAAGACAAAGAGAGAATCATAAAGGCAGCAAGAAAAAAGCAACAGGTTACCAACAAAGGAACCTCCATAAGGCTATCAGCTGACTTCTCAACAGAAACACTGCAGGCCAGAAGGAAATGCCATGAAGTAATCAAGGCTATTCTATCCAGTAAGACTATCATTCAAAATAGAATGTGAAATAAAAAGGTTACAAGACAAAAAAAAAAAGGTGAAGGGACTATATTAGCACCAAAACAGCACTGCAAAAAATGTTAAAAGAACTGTTGTAATTAATAGAAGAAATAGGAAGAAAAATATAACCACACTAAAAGAAAATGCCAATAAATAAGTAAATAAAAATAACCTTATATGTAAGTGAATTGAATGCTCCAATAAGAAAAACACAGAGTAGCTAATTGGATAAGAAAGCATGACTCATATATATGTTTACAAGAGACCCACCTCACAAAAAAAGACTCACATAGGTTGAAAGTGAAGGGATGGAAAAAAATCTTTCAAGCAAACAAAAAGGAAAAAAAAAGCTGGGGTAGCAATACTTATATCTGATAAATTAGCTTTCAAAATGTAGGCCATAACTAGAGACAAAGAAAGCTACTACACAGTATTGAAAGGATCTATCCAACAGGAAGATATAACCTTGGTAAACATATATGCACCCAATATAGGAGCACCAAAATATATTTAAAATCTTGTGGAGGACCTCAGAGGAGAAATCGATGCAACACAATCATAACAGCGGACTTCAACAGCCCACTGACATCACTGGATAGATCGTCTAGAAAAAAAATTAACAAGGAAACAGAGACTCTAAATCATGCACTAAATCAAATGGATTTAATAGATATATACAGAGAATTACATCCCAAAACTGCAGAATTCACATTCTTCTCAAGTGCACATGGAACATTCTCAAAGATAGACCACATGTTAGGAAACAAACTAAGTCCCTATAAGTTCAAGAACATTGAAATCATATAGAGCATCTTCTCAGATCACAATGGCAGGAAACTAGAAATCAATTACAATAAAAACATGCAAAGACATTTGAACACATGGAGGCTAAATAGCATATTCTTAAACAATGAATGGGTTACCAAAGAGATCAAGGAAGAAATTAAAAACTTCCTGAAAACCAATGAAAATGAACACCCAACAACACAAAATCTATGGGATGCAGCAAAAGCAGTTCTGAGAGGAAAGTTCATAGCACTACAGGCCAACCACAAGGAACAAGAAAAATTTCTAATATATTATCTAACCTCACAACTTAAAGAACTAGAGGGCAAACAAAAAGAAAACCCCAGAGCAAATAGAAGGAAGGAAATAATAAAGATCAGAGCAGAAAGAAATGACATAGAGACCATAAAAACAATTTAAAAGATCAGTGAAACAAAGAGCTGGTTCTTTGAAAAGATAAACAAGATTATTGGACCCTTAGCTAGACTCACCAAAAAACAGAGAGGACCCAAATAAACAAAATCAGAAATGAAAGAGGAGAAGTAACAACTGACACAGAAATACAAAGGATTGTTAACAAATACTATGAACAATTATATGGCAACAAATTGGACAATCTAAGTGAAATGGACATATTTCTAGAAACACTTAGTCTCCTGAAACTGAACCAGGAAGAGATAGAAAACTTGAACAGACCAATAACAACAAGGAAATTGAAGAGGTAATCAAGACTCTCCCAGCAAACAAAAGCCCAGGCCCAAATAGCTTCATTGGGAAGTTTTACCAAACATTCACAGAAGAACTAACACCCACTCTCCTCAAACTATTTCAAAAAATTCAAGAAGGAAGACTTCCAAACTCGTTTTATGAGGCCAGCATAATTCGAATTCCAAAACCAGATAAAGACACTACAAAGAAAGAAAACTACAGGCAAATATCCCTGATGAATATAGATGCTAAAATCCTGAACAAAATATTAGCAAATTGGATCCAGCAATACATTAAAAAAATTATTCACTATGACCAAGTGTGATTCATCCCAGGAATGGAAGGCTGGTACAATATTTGCAAATCAATAAATGTGATACACCATATAAACAAAATGAAAGATAAAAATTATATGATCATATCAATAGATGCTGAAAAAACATTTGACAAAATCCAGCACTCATTTCTGATAAAAATGCTCAGCAATGTGGGAATAGAGAGATCATATCTCGACATAATAAAGGCCATATATGAAAAACCTACATCCAGTATCATACTTAATGGGCAAAAACTAAAAGCATTTCCCTTAAGAACAGGAACAAGACAGAGATGCCCACTTTCACCACTCTTATTTAACACAGTACTGGAAATCTTAGTCACAGCAATTAGACATGAAGAAAAAAATAAGAGGGATCCAAATTGGAGAGGAGGAAGTAAAACTGTCATTATTCACAGATGACATGATACTATACATAGAAAACCCTAAATACTCCATCAAAAATCTACTAAATTTAATAAACAAGTTTGGCAAGGTAGCAAGATACAAAATTAATATCAATAAATTGATGGCATTCTTATACACCAATAATGAACTCACAGAAAGAGAAACTAAAAAAAAACAATCCCATTTACCATTACAGCAAAAAAATTAAGATACCTAGAAATAAACTTAACCAAAAGAAGTAAAGGACCTATTTGCAGAAAACTACATGACATTGGAAAAGAAATAGAGGAAGATATAAAAATGTGGAAGCACATACATTGTTCATGGATTGGAAGAATTAACATCATTAA